ATTTGAGACTCTGCCATCCACTTTTATATCGGTACTAAACTTCGAGAAGCGATCATTTAACCACTCTTCACAGGTAAACAATCTCTTTAATGCACCTTCAGATTTCCGAATGGAGTCCACAGCTAAGTAATCGGTCGCAAAGCGGGTTATGACAGGCCTGATTCTCTCTTTTTTCTTAGAGTGTTCTCTAAACATAAATAAAATTTTAGAGTGGTTGTATATAAATCTCGACACCAACCTTACTTCCTCTAGAGTCTCCTTCACAATTTTGATCTCACCGATCTCCTCTAACATAAGTTTGATGCTGTGTGCAGCACACGGGGTCCGTACTAGATGCTTCATCTTATCCATCAACTTACTGCCCGCATAAACACATGCACACTCATTGTCCGTAATAAACGGGACTATGTGCTTATCTTCCACCTCCTCCACTATCTGATCATATAGTTGTACATAGAAGGTTACCTCCTTCTTCGTCCTTGATACGTCTTTGCTAGGCAAAAAAGCTGTACATTTTGCAGAATAGGCCAAGAAGTTTAAAAACTCATTTTTGCTAACTTTATTCAACCAACCATCACTCATGAGAGTAATGCCTGTCTTTGGCCAACTCTGTTTATATTCTTTAATCCACTTTGTAACTTCCTCCACCTCTTCATCTAATATTGGCCCATTGAGCTCATATGTCATCAGGTGTTTTACCCCCGGCCCAGTTCTCTGGATTGCACTGACCATAGGTGGAAAATATGGGTTATTAGCTGCATCAAAGGGAATCCCTTTATCGTAGAACCATTTACCAACATATCTCCCCAACATATTTCTTGTACCTTTAACTATGCCTTTTAAAGTCATCTGTTGTGACTTAGGCTTTGAGAGAAATGAGTCTATACGACCATGACCTACAACACTGGTACTCTTAGATAAGCTAGGAACTATTTCTTCAACGTTTGATTATTGTTGACACATACTGCAACCAACCCCTCCATACATATTTGAGCTGACCCCCCCATACATGCTCGACGTGGGCCCGCCATGCATGTCTAAGCTGGGCCTGCCATACATGTCTGAGCTAGACCCACCATGCATGTCTGAGCTAGACCCACCATGCATGCCTATATCATAACCACCGGGCATTCTAAACCCACGTTCCCTCTGATATTGTTCATGTAAACTCACTCTTGTGGCCATCTCTAGGTTATTATTATATTGCTCTTCTAGGTCATTATTATATTGCTCTTCTGGATCATTCCTGCTTGATGGCATATATAAACTAGCTATCTCCTCATTCATCCTATGTTTGACAATTTTTTTACCTTTGTTAGCCTTAAAAAATGCCGCCATATGTTTTTTTACATTACTAGGGACACTACTGCATGCAGAAACATCTCCCTTAACCTCTGCCAAGTTTTGCTTGAACCTATGTACCCCACTATTTATTACTCTTTAGCAGTAATTACAAATAATTTTGTCTTTTTTGTTGGGATCAAGTCTGACCCCATGTTGCCATGCAGGGTCTTCTGCAGAACTTGACATGATTCAATTGTTTTAATATGTAAAAAGTTAAAAATTAACCTGACAGTTCAACAAGAAAAATAATCACCATGTGTAGTGATAATATGTTGGGGTAGTTCATGTAGTTATATTTGTTGTTATTTGTTATTGCAAAATATTTCTATTGACAATAATATTTTCGTACATATCAATTACAAACATACAGGATAATATAATACAAAATGCAAGCTCCAAACATGGCTACAGCTCAATTATCAAGAACATACATTTTTTGCATTAAAAAATTAATAATAAAATTAACAAAATGCAAGATAATATAATTGTCATATATGCCACGATTTTTTTACAATGATATTCACTTTAATTTCTCATGATAATACAATTTAACAACATGTATTTTTTGCATTCAATATTTAAAAAATTGAAAATACATTTTTAATGCAAAACTACATTAAAAGTATAATACAGTTTTGCATTAGACATATAATAAGTTGTATGTTTTTGCATAAATATTCTATCAACATGGAATTTTTTCAACAAAAACTTTAACAATAAAAATTAAAAATATGGTTTAATACCTCATGATAATCAAAACCTGGTCACTATTTTCACATCTTTTAGGAAAATCAGGATTTTTTTAAAAAAATTGATCATGTCCTAAAAAAAAAAAACAAATAAAAACAATTCTTCATAGAACCACCTAACATCAGTCATTCCAGCTCAAAAATGCATTAACAACAAATTAAAAAAATACAGTTTTGCATTAGAAATATAATAACATGTATGTTTTTTGCATAAATATTCTATCAACATGCAATTTTTTCAACAAAAACATTAACATAAAAAGTAAAAATATGGTTTAATACCTCATGATAATCAAAACCTGGTCACTATTTTTACATCTTTTCGAAAAATCACGATTTTTCAAATAAAATTGATCATGTACTAAAAAGAAAAACAAATAAAAACAATTCTTCACATAGCCACCTAACATCAGTCATTCCAACTCAAAAATGCATTAACAACAAATTAAAAAAGTATAGGTTTGCATTAAAAATATAATAACATGCATTGTTTTGCATAAATAATCTATCAACATACAATTTTTTCAACAAAAACTTTAACAATAAAAATTAAAAATAGCAGAAATGTTTTTTCACAGACATCACTGTGTTCTTCTAAAAAATCAGGCTGTAATTGAGTAAATTAAATGAAATTGAATATGGTTAATGATAAAAGACACGATAAAGATTTAAAACCCTATAAATTTAACTGATTATTTTCAAAATATGGACTGAAATTGATCAAATGGCAGAAAAAAAAAAAATTGCAGAGTTCTTACCTGGTTTTGTGAACCTGTGGCTTCAATCTCTAAATTATTCTGTTTTTCTCAAAGATTATCCCAAATTCGTAACAGAATTTTTCGATGAACACATTTACGATAAATATGCCTCAAAAGTTTCACAGATTCTTGCTCTATTTGGCATGAAACAAAAGGAAAAGCGGAAACCCTAAAATCCGCAACTTTCATGACCCAAAAACATGAAATTTCTCCACCATTTAATCCTTGAAAAGGCTGAAAAAAAGTTGCATAAAGCCTGAATATTCGATCACATGGCAAAAAAAAGAAGAAAAATGATAAAAAAAAAAAGACAAAATTTGAAGAAACCCGCTAAGAACACTGTGCAGCTCGTGTTCTTCACGGGACTCGCCGATTCTGTATAGTGAATCGACGAGTCACTGTACAGAATCGCCCCGTTTTCACTGGAATCGGGCGATTTCGTGTATTATGCCGAAACCGATACGTCCTTTGCCTATTCCCGAGTCGAACCGGGTCCGGGTTAACTTGGCGTTTTTTAAAACCCTGGTCTAAACAAATGCAACCAACCGGTTTCACACCACCCGGACCCCGTTAAAGAGGAACTTGAGATGGGTGTATGTGTATTTCAAAACTTGGATTCATGGAGTGGATAGGAAATGTTGGATCGTCGATCTGGATTCGGTTTGATTCGATTTGAATGATAACCTAAACATATATTCTAAAAATAAATAAAATAAGATAAGGTTGACAAATAAATTAAATAGATATTATATTAGGGTATTTTTTTAATATATCTAATTTTGTGGATGCTTATCCATAATTTAGTAAATTTTTTTATGAGTATTGTATATAATTAATCAGTGGCATAATATAATTTTTTACTAGAAAGAAAAACATGTATTAATTATAATGGATAATGATATTATAAGTATAACGTGTGACATTAACATTAATTGCTTTTTTAACAACTAATAGAATGTCATTGTGTTTTGTAGAAATATCTATTTTATCTCTCTTAATGATCAACAACACCTTTGATTGAAAAATATTATTTTACAAAAAAAAATAATGAGCGTACAATGAATGTTGAGTATATTTAGAAAACACTTTATACATATGAGCACTCTAAAAAATCTGTGTAGCAACTTTTTTGTCTTGAGGTACTTTAAATATAAAAAAATTTATATAAGGTCCCAATATTAAAATGTAGAATTAAGGTGCAATTGAAAATCCATTGGAAAATGTTATTTTAATGTTAAAAAATCCTCTAATTGATCATCTAAATTCATTGGAAAATGTTCGCTTGATGTTGGAAAGCTCTCTAATTGATCATCTCGACATCGAGATGTACGATAAATATGTAAGAAAATAAATATTATGATTCTCCAAAAGAGATATGACATTATAAGACCCTCCCACACCTATGTGAGTAGAACCCAAAGGATCATTTATTAAATTTAGATACAGGTCTCCAAAAAAGTTATCACATGGATGTGGGACTTGGGTGAATGAGTTTTTTAGAGATCTGCATCAAAATTTAATGGTGATCTGCATCAAAATTTAATAGTGATCTTTTGGAGTCTTACTCACATAGGTGTGAGAGGGTCTCATAGTATCATTACTTTTCTGAAAAATAATACATCTTGCAACAAATTATCTAGATCATCCTTTTTCAAGATTTTCATGTTTACTATTGGTAAAAACTAGCGGATCTAACCGCCCGGTTAGATCGGAACAGGTCAGTGGCGGGTTTCGGTTTTGTGTAGTTTTGGTGATCAATCGGTATTTAAAAAAAAAATTCAAAAAAATAAATATAAATTCTCAAAAATAAAAAATTTGGTTTATAATATATTTTAATATTCTTTATATTAAGGTAAAAATTAAAAATTGTTTTGGTCATTAATCATCACTTTAATTCAAAAATCTATTTTTTATTAATTTTTAATTTCATTTGAATGTGTATTGTTTTAATCATTTTTTATATTTTAGTAGATTTTATTTTTATTTTTCAACACTTTTTTATCCGGATTTCCTCTTAGAATGGTTGAGTTGGCCGGTTCACCGATTAGGACGGGTAAACCGCTCCGATGGTTGAGTTGGCCGGTTCACCGAATAGGACGGTTAAACAGCTTCCGAAATCACGTATAAAATCGGGGCGTTTAGCCCGAAACAAATTGCTGTTTCAAAACAGCAGTCCAATGGGGAAAATGTCGTTCATGAGCGGCGACCTCTTCACCAAAACCAGGAAGCTTGTGAAGGGCCTTGCCATGGCCAAACCTCTCTGGCTCAAAGCCATGGAAGAGTCAGCTCTTTCTCTCTCTCTCTCTC